CTCCGGGCCTCGAGGTGGCGCGGCGGGAGCGCCACGCGCGGGCGCTCGCGCTCCAGGAGCTCCGCGCGCGCCGCGACCGCGCCGCGGTCGTCGCGCAGGCGCGTGCGCGCCGCGCGAGCGCGCGCCGCGCCGCGGACCGCCGGCGGCGCGCCGCCGCCGTCGGCGCGCAGCGCGCGCGGGGCGTCGCCGCGAACCTCGTCGCGCGCGCGCTCCAGCGCCGCCACCGCGGCGCCGCGGGCCGGCGCCGCGCGGCGCGCCTCCGCGGCCGCTGGGCCGGCCGCCGCAAGCTCCACACCCTGGGCGTCGCCGAGGTGGCCCGCGCGCTCCTCAAGCCCGCGCACCTCGTCGACGCCTACGCGGCGACGTGGGCGTCGCTCGGCATCGACGGCGCGCTCCTCTCCGACGACGACCTCACGGAGGCGGACCTCGAGGAGCTCGGCGTGGCCATCTCCATCCACCGCCGCCGCGTCCTCGCGGCCGTGGCCCGGCTCAAGTCCCAGGGCGTGCCCGAGGAGCTCCTCGCGCCGACGCCGCCGGCGACGCCCGAGCCGGCGAGCCCGCCGCGCCGCGCCGCGCCGAAGAAGAGCCCGGCCAGGAGCCCGGCCAGGAGCCCGGCCAAGAGCGCGCCGTCGCCGCCGCCGCCGAAGAAGCGCGCGGCCGACGGCCGGCCGACGGCGCGCGAGCTCCACGCGAGCGCGGGCCGCCGCGCGTCCGCGGCGCCGGCGCCGGAGCCGCCGCAGCCGAAGCGCCGCGCCTTCACGGACCTCGGCGTCAACGGCCGCGACGCCGAGATCGAGGCCGCGAAGCGGCGCGCGGCCGCGCGCAAGTCCGGCGCGAAGCCGGCCCCGAGGCCCGCGCCCCGGAAGCCCGCGGCGATCCCGGCGCGGCCCAAGGAGCCCGCGGCGCCGGACGACGGCTTCTTCGACGACGGCGACTTCGAGGCGCCGACGGGCGACGAGGACGTCGCCGACCTCTTCGGCTAGGGGTGTGTTGCGTGCCGGAGCCGTAAGTGCGACGAGGCTGCAACGTCCAGTGATGAGCTTCACCGTCGGCCTCAAGCGCGGCGCATCGATAGCTCTCAGAAGCCGACCGCAGCGTGCTGGA